CAGTTCCAGGGGATCTGATGTTCTCTTCTGACCTCTGAAGGCACTGCACGACAGAGGTGTACTTAACATATATGCAGGCAATACACTCATACACAAAAAATAAAAATATTTTTAAAAGATAAAAAGCAAAGGTGGTGGGGCTGGAGAGATGGCTCAGCAGTTAAGAGCACTGTCTGTTCTTGCAGAAGACCCAAGTTTGAATCCCAGCACCTACATAGTGGTTAACAACCACCCATAGCTCCAGTTCCAGGGGACCCAACACCTGTCCTCCATGGGTACTGCATGACACAGGTGCACGTACACACATGCAGGCATAACACTCATACACATAGAATAAAAATAAATAAATTTAAAAATAAAAAAACAAAACAAAAACAAAAAAAGGTGATTCATACATAAAAGAATGGGAACAAAAGCAATGGAGAAATGTTTACAAAACAGAGTAACTTCCAACTACTCTATTTTACAAAATTGTAGAATCATACACCTGTTGTCTTTGATTTACTTCACTCAGTCTTAAGTTTTCCAGGCTAATATATGTTGTAGCATGAATCAAAACATCGTTTTTATGGCTGAGACAGTATACAGATATACCACATTTTGTTTAGTAATTCATCTATTGATGGCATTTGACTTTTAACTTTTGGCTCTTGAGATTCATGTTCCAATGAACACTGGTGCACAAATATCTGAGTTGTTTTCATTATTTTTGGTTATGTACCCAGGAGAGGAGTTGCTAGGCCATATGGTAATTCTATGCTTAGCTTTTTGGGGAAAATCTTGGCAACTTCTTTTTTAAACACCACAACTATTAAGAGACCATTAAGTGAACATCTTGTTTCCTGCAATACCTTTTACAAATTGTCATCAGCACTGAAATCACCTCAACACTGAAGTCACTTTCTTCTTTACTAAATATATCACTACAGGGCTGGAGAGATGGCTCAGCAGTTAAAAATACTCGCTGTTCTTGTAGAGGACCCACATTCAATTTCCAGCACCTACATGGTGGATAACAACCATCCGTAACTCCAGTTCCAGGGGAATCTGACACCCTCTTCTGATCTCCGTGGGCATTGTACATCACAGGTGCACTTAACACACATGCAGGCAATCCATTTAGACACATAAAATAAAAACAATAAAAATAATTAAAAAAAATATAACAAGGGATCAGAAACTGAGATAAGAATTCTCTTTAGAAAACCATGTACAGAGCCAGGCATGGTGGTTCAAGCCTGTGATCCCACAGCACTTGGGAGGCAGAGGCAGACGCAGAAGCATCAGTGCAGGTTCATGGTCAACCTGGGCTACATAGCAAATTCCAAACAGAAGGGAGAAAGGGAAAGAGGGAGGCAGAGAGGGAACCAGGGAAGGAGGGAGGGAGGGAGGGAGGGAATTACCTAAAAAGTTTAATCTGTACCTTTTGTTGAGATAGAGTCTCACTATATCCCTGGTCATCTTCAAATTCAGAGATTCCCCAGCTTCTGCCTCCCAAGTTCTGGAATTACGGAATTAAGTGTGTACAACCACATCCAACCTCAATTTGCTTCTTAATATATTAAAAAATGTGTAGCCGGGCATGGTGGTGTACGCCTTTAATCCCAGCTCTTGGGAGGCAGAGGCAGGCAGATCTCCGTGAGTTCAAGGCCATCCTGATCTACAAAGTGAGTCCCAGGACAGCTGGGCTACAGGGAGACTCTGTCTCAAAAATACCAAAAAAAATGTGTATAGCAAAAATTTTAACATTATAATTCAAGATTTCCTAAAACATGGTTAACCTTCTGGGACTGGGATTCTATCCCTTGTCCTATACAACAGATGCAAGTAAATGTCATACTAACTCAAAACCTGTTTTAAACATGTTTGACTATCTGCAAAGACTAAATATACATGAAATATAATCTCATCTACCAAAAAGCTAGAAGAACCTAATGAGAATCACTAAAATGAGACATCAAGTATTTGAGCAGGTTTACAATATTTCTCCACTTACAAACATTCTATGCATTTTGTCAAAGAACAAATTTCAAGAACTGAAATTCTGAAGATCTAATGAACTTCTATCAACAATTTGTGAATTAGGCAGTACCCAATCTAAAAAACAGGAAGGCTCTCCTGTTGGTCCACTTCTGTAATCCCAGGACTCGGGAAGTGGAGGCAAATGGATCAGAAGTTCAAGGCCAGCCTTGGCTATATAGCAAATTCCAGGGTAGTCTATCTCAAACAACAACAACAACAACAAAAAATCAAAATAAAAAAAAAACCCACCCAAAAACCAGAAAGGCACTACTATGAAGAAAATAAGTATAAGGAATAAGGGTAACATCAGTTATTTCAAGTTTATTTTCCTTTCATAGGTCCAAGTGAAACTGTTGGCTTAATGGAGTTTGGCTCTCATCTATCCTGAGTTCTTGAAAGATCAGATGTTACAAGTTAAACAGCTTAGGTCTGTGTGTAGAAACATATAAAAAGTAACAATTTTTTTATTATTAGGGAAAAGGAATTGAAAAAAAATAGTAATGACCTAGCTTTACTTTTCTTGCTTCTGCTTTGAAATAGTCCCACTTTTATCTAAAAAAAAGTGATTCAAGGGCTGGAGATGTACCTACCTCTTAAAGCATTTACTTAGCATGTGAGAGTCCCTGAGTGTGATCCCTGGCATCATCAGGCAAACAAAGCAAATACAAAACAGAGTTCATTAAATAAAATGCAATAGTTGTTATGCATCTATTTCAATTGTTTTTATGTAAATATATTTTCTTTCTAAAATATTTTTATTGTTTTTATTTTTATGTGTATGAGTGTATGTAAGTGCATCCATACTCTGCAATGCCCACGGAGGTCAAAAGAAGGTGTCGAAGTCCTCTGGAACTGGAGTTACAGATGGTTGTTAGTCACCATGGGGGTGCTGGAAATCGAACCTGGGTCCTCTGCAAGAGCAGCCAGTGCTCTTAACTGCTGAGTCATCACTCCAACCCCCTGATGTAAATATATTTTTCAAGGGAAAAAAAAAGAAAGTATGTCCTCTAAAATATTTGATTTTTTTTTTCTGATAAGACCTTGGGTATTTTTAAATAGAAATTTATACCAAGATACTTATAAATGCACATGCAGCTAGAAACAATAAAGTCAGGCATGGTACCACATGCCTGTAACTCTACCACCTAGGCTGAAGCAAGAGGATCATGAGTTCAAGGCCAATCTGGATTATATAATGAGACTCTGCCTCAGAAACCAAACCAAACAAAGAAATAAAACAGACAGATCCTGCGTCCATTTTACCCATTTTCTCCTAACACCAGTTTTTAAAATGAGCAAATCTACCAACAGAATAGAATAGTTCCATTTGAGGTTTGTAAAGCGAACAGGAAAGAAATTGGAAGAACAGATCCTTAAACAGGAATGGCAACCTTTTTCTCAACTTACTTTGTATTTCTCTGTGTTACAGTATTTAATGCACTATTTTGCAAAATTTTTTTTGAGATGGTCTCAATATGTAGACAACAAGGTTGGCTTTGAACTCAAAGAGACCTGTCTGTCTCAGCCACCCTAGCACTGGGGTTAAAGGCATGTGCCACCAAGCCTGGCTAATTTGCAATTCTTTATCTTTGTGAATCTTCTCCTCCAATAGTTTGAGATTCTTCAGAGCAGGGGTGGATCTTACTATTATCTTCCTACTACCAGTGGCAAGTCTAGGACACAGGAGGAAAGGAGGCGGCAATGGTATGGGACTTTTCAGAAAAAGCTTTTGGGCTCAAAAGATGGCTCAATGGGTAAAAGCACCTGCCATTCAAACATTCAGATATACAGAATCATCTAATACATTACCTAGTTGGCAATGAGTCAAGGCTATTGCTTCTTTTATCACTGACCTATTTAAGAAAAGACTGCCCGGAGCTGGAGAGATTGCTCAGCAGTTAAGAGCACTGACTGCTCTTGCAGAGGACCCGGGTTCGATTCCTAGCACACACATGGCGGCTATGAACCATCTTTAACTCCAGTTCCAGGGGAGTCCGACGCTTTGTTCTGACCTCCAAGGCACTGCGCAACATGGGTGCACTCACATACATGCAGGCAATATACTCATACACATAAAAAAATGATAAATAAATTTAAAAAAAAAGACAAGACTGTCCTGGGCTGGAGAGAGGGCTCAGTGGTTAAGAGTGCTGACTGTTCTTGAAGAGGACCTGGGTTTGGTTCCCAACACCCACATGGTGGCTAACAACCATCTGTAACTCCAGTTCCAGGGAATCCAGTACCTTATTCTGACTGCCACAGGCACTGTATGACATGGGTGCACTTACACACATGCAGGCAACACACTAATACACATAAAATAAAAATAATAAAATGTTTTTTAGAAAAGAGACTGTCCTATCATCTCAAAATATATAAAATTAAGTGCTTTTTAAAATATTTTATTATTTATGTGTATGAGTGTATTTCCTGCACATGTGTAAGTGCACCCATGTCATGCAATGCCTGCGGAGTTCAGAAGAGGGCAACGGATTCCCCTGGAACTGGAGTTACAGATGGTTGTTGGCTGCCATGTGGGTGCTAGGACTCAAAAGTGCTCTTAACCACTGAGCCATTTCTCCAGTCCCAAAATTAAATTTTGTAGTAATTTTTTTTCATAATCTAGTTATGAAAATCAAATTATGAATCATGCTTGAATTTAGACAGTTTTGTTTTCATAAAGTGTTAAACAGTATTAAACAACAGATTTTATCCAAAATTGTAAAGTCTCACGGAAAATTAAAAGAGTATTCTCACAAACTGGCAGGTAACATCTTTAAGCAGAAAGACCAATAATATTTTATTGTCTTACAAATAAGCATTTCACAAAAAATGACAGGGAATGTATATGGATTGTTTACTGTTAAACAGAACACAGAAAACAGGGCCAAGCATGGTAGCACATGCCTTTAATTCCAGTACGCAGGAGGCAGAGGCAGGCGATCTCTGTGAGATCAAGGCTAGCCTAGTCTGCACAGTGAGTTCCAGGTCAGCTGGGGCTACAGGAAGACCCTGTCTCAAAAACCAAACCAAAACAAAAAACCCAAACAAACAAAAAAACAAACACCACACACACACAACACACAGAAAAGAAATAATATTCTGATACCTACACATTGTATTTCAAATCCCACTGATTCTACCTTATACACAGTAGGTATGCAATGCATATCAACTGAGTTGAAAATATGTACTCTGTAAGATGTGTTTGCAAAATGTGTAATGCTGGAGTAGTAAAGTACAATTTTCAAACAGGATATTTTCTTTGTCAGATTTTAAAAGCCTTTAAAAATATGATATGCACAAGCTTGCCCTGAGGGAAAAGTAAGATGGGATATAGATTACAAAATCTTTATATATTTTCTCTAACAGCATTTGAAACAGGAAAAGAGCAAATAGTTGTGGAAAAAAACCTAATGAACATATTACTAAAAATTCAGTGCACTCACTACTACCTGATGGGAAAGTTGAAGCACCTTTTCTCTAGCCTTCTTATATTATGAAATTTGTGAATCATATAGGCCTTGATCTTCAGAAACTTAAGAAAACTTCAAGTTATAAGTCAAAATTTCACCAGAAAAAGAAAAACCAGTATAAAATTTGCTACTGTAAGGTCACTTTTAAAAGTTCTTTCAGACATTATATAATTCTGATACTTCTTTTTACAACATTAACAAAGCTTTCAACATATCTCTTGATGAAATCATGCTCAGAGGAAAATGTGTCAACAAATAATGCCCTTCAAGTGAGTCTATTGAGACTTTTTTCAAAAGAAACTGTAGTTAAATACAACATTTCAATTGAATACTGTTATTAACAGCAATTGTTAAGTGTAAAAAAGCCACAGCATTCCACTAGTGAAAAATAAAGATATTTTATCAAGAAAGTTACAGTATTAGTGTCTTGGTGTTAATTCTAACTCCTGACAAAAAGAGATGCTGCAGTGCGTCCTCCTAGTGCCGTTTCCATTTGCAACAATTCCAGGTTAGTTTTCTGTGGCAATGTCTGTATATTCCTAGAGAGAGAAAATAAGAGAAATATGGTTTCAGAAGGAGAGTCAGTTCCAACATCTGAGCTAGAGTTTGATTTACAGTGCAATTTTCAAAATACTTTAATTTATATGGTGCTACCTGCACTTATACTTCCTACAAAGGTTATGTGGAATCATCAAGATGCAATGTAACAATAGAATACATCAAAACAGGAACTAAATGTTAAGTCAGTAGGACAAAAAAAAAAATCCTATGACACTACGTAACACTGGTATTAGTAAACTGAGAAAATGGCCTTCTACTCCTTAGGTGAGTTTCAGTGAGAACACTCTGGCATAAATGCAAGACTCTTACACTTTAAGCTCTCCAGTCCCAAGCCTGATACAATAGAAGTACAAGCTCAAACTAGTATTTTATCTTTTTCATCCTGTAGTATTTATTCTAAAATTATATGGACTCTTATAATGATTGATAATTTCAAAGGAAGCTATTGGGAGAAAGTTTCCTTGCTTTCAAATGGTTAAGGTTTCAATAAATATGGGAAAAAATTCACAAGAACAGTAGACTATGATGAAAGGGTAATGACTGGATTTTATATTGTGATCTGATGTAAAATACTAAATTAACCACAAACTTGATATAAGACCATGCAAATAATAAAACTAAAAATGGCAGAATGACATTTATACTTCAGGGACATTTAAAATAATATATATATATCCTTACCTTTTAACTAGGTTCTTACATTAAAACTGAAAGAAATGTAAAAGTTTGTTTACTTTTGCATTTATATCAGAATGAAAATGCTTAATTCCAAATAAAAACAATGCTGGTAGGAAATTCTTTATTATTCTATTTTGGTAAATGAAATGTTCAAAATACATACATATATATTTCTATCAATGTTATTCATTTAAATAGAGGTAGATGTCATTGAACTTTATTCTTTACCAATTATACAATATAAAAATCATAAATTTATCTTCACGTTACCTATTAACAACTTTAAAAAGAAATTCTAACTATAATAATTCAAAAGAAAATTTCAACTGAAAATCTTATTTATAAAAATGCACAATTATTTGAACTACATTCAATCCTTGACATAGCTTCTTCTACAGTTTTCAAATTGATCTCCCAATCTTCCAATGACTTACAAGTTTTTAAAAGTACAATGCTAAACTAGGTATGAGGCCCCTTCTTGTCTAGGCTTTCATAGTGACACAGGATCACTGCAAATGTCCCCTTATTGGTCTTACTGTACCTCATTCTTTCCTAGGACTCTGCTACCCACTGCTATTCAAATGACTATTCTAAAGTATCATTTTTTCCTTCTTACTCCAGAAAGACATCCTACTGCAACTGTATCAAATACTAAATATTTTACCCACATTTTAAGGTCTCTCTATTTTGCATACTTCCATTTTTCCCTAATCCCCCATCCTACTGCCGAACATGGATTTAGCTCTTTCTATGCCTAGCTCTTTTTCTCCATGCCGCAGTTTCCAACCTACTTCCCCCGGGAAGCGAGTATCAGTGAAAGTACTTAGCATACATTTCTTGATCACACCAACCACATACATCTTTTCCCTTAAGCTCTTCAAAAATATGGCTGTTAAGAAAAGAGTTAACATAACAGAACTGATTGCTTTCCTTTTAAGTGTCTGTTTCCAAGGTTGGCATTTGAAACTCAGATTTCAGGAGGAGTCTTATTAACTGTTAAGTGCTGAAATTAAATATGCTTTCCTTCTGACAACCTAGAATTTGAGTGTGTGCCCACTAGGGGGAGCTTTCATAATAAGCTCCTAGCAAAAACCCTGGGTACTGAGTCTCCAGTGAGCTAGCTTCCCAGCTGACAACATTTGATGTGTGTTACAGTAACTAACTACTGGAGGAATTATACATGTCCTGAGTGACTCCCCTTGGAGAGTATCCTTGCAAATGCGCACTTAGCTTCCTCCAGATTTCCTCCCATGTGCTTTTTCCTTAGCTGATTGTGCTGTATTTTCACTCTAACAAATCAGCTTCACACCAGTACAATTAGATACTGAGTCCTCTGAGTCATCTTTGTAGATCATCAAACCCAGAGAACTCTCATCCACTGGTTTTTGCTCACTGACTTTTTGCAGCATACACATGTATGCGTGTGTATGTATGAACCAGATTTAATTCCATACAACAAACATTTTCTAAAGACTGATTTTAGATAAAAGGCAAAAGAAGAAGATAGACTGACGAGGTATGCTCTGCCCTTAAGAAGTTGGTAATCTATTTTGCAAACTAGAAAAATAAAGAGTACTAATTAGAGACCCAATGAAAGAACTAAAAAGGGGGGCTCAGAAAGACTTTACAGTGGCTCTCAAAAGAAAAGAAGGGGTTTATAAGAAAAGGCTAGAAGCCAGGTGTGATGGCACATGCCTGAAATCTCAGAACTTGGAAGGTGGAAGTGGGTTTGAGAGTTTGAGGCCAAACTGAATTAAACAGCAAGACCCAGTCCTATAACAAAAAAGGTGGGTGGGGGGGACGACAACAGAGAGACTATTCTAGCTAAGAGAACAGTAGGAACAAAGACAGAAATATAGGGCTAGAAAACTGTTTAGCTTCCAGGGATCCTCATGTCTCTTTCTACCTTCCATCTAACTGTACGAGAGCTGGGATTACAGATGAGCACTGCCTTATCTGGTTTACGAAGGTTCTAGGGACTGGAACTCATGTACTGTATGGTTATACAGCAAGCACTCTACCCATTGAGCCATTTCCCCAGTCCCCTTGAATCTAATTTTAAATTATCTGAGGAAGTCCCTAAAGGTGTACTTTGAAATACTGGTGATGGTGTCAAGAGAGTGATACAGCATTACCAACTAGCAACTAGTATACTTTTATACTCTAGGTCAGAAAGTTTCCAATTCTTGAACTTTGCTTAACAAAAATTGAAAGACAGGACAAAAATCAATCTGTAAGTGATAGAACACTCAAAGTACTTCTTGGTGAGATCAGTAAGTGATTATTTTGGCCTATAATTTAGAGTACAAAGAACTAAGTGGTACTACCTAATTACAGAAGTCCCTTCATTCCCATCTACATAAGCACACAAGACTCCTGAATACTTAAAAACTATAAAAAGAGAAATTACAATTAGAATTGATACTTAAACACTATTATCCTACTACCAATAATATTTATCTTTGAATGCCTGGAAAAAAGAAACCCATTTCTAGTAAAGTTTGTTTTGGTTAGCCAATACTTCACAAAATCTGTAGTATGCTTATGATACTTTGATTAACTATAATATTAATTCAGTACAGAGAAGAGAGTTAATACCCAACAGTCACAGAACTCTAACAGTATTGCATATCAAATTAAAATGGTGGTCAGTAAAATAGTTTAAAGGGTGATCAATAAAACACTTTAAAAGATAAGTTCTATGGAAAAAAGCACTGTGAAATCCAAATTTAAGGGAATAAAGGAAGGCTATAAAATTTCTTAGTGTTAGAAGAGCTAACCTGTACATTTTTAAACTGAAAATTAGTTATCCAATTTCTATGGTATGTAGGTTCCATTGAAAGGATTTAAAAGAATAATGTAGCAGTTTTATTTAAGACTGTCAATGTCTATAATATGCCAGAGGTTATATCCTTTTATCCTTTACAACAACTTAGGCTAAAAAACCCATCAACATGTGTAAGACATTAGGTAATTTTACAAAACTTGAGTATTTGAGCAAAATGGCTTGAAAAATGAAATAAATAATGTACCTCTACAGTATAATAACATGCATTTGTTGAAATGAATGAATTGAATGAAGATATGAGTGACAGAAATAAGACTGGGAATGAAGGTGAGGGACAACTAGGAGGACTGATTATTAGGATGAGTTTTTTCGTTGGCTTGCTACTTATAACAGCTATGGATCACAAGGGGGAAGAATTAAGTGAGAGCAAGTTTGATTTTTTTTTTTGGTCTTTTTGAGACAGGGACTCCCTGTAGCCCTAGCTGTCCTGGAACTCACTATGTAGACCAGGCTGGCCTTGAACTCACAGAGATCTGCCTGCCTCTGCCTCCCGAGTGCTGGGATTAAAGGCGTGCACCACCACACCAGGCTGGTTTGATATTTTTAACAGCTTTACTGACATATAATTCTCATTCCATATAGTTGACCTGTTTAAAGTGCACAATTCAGTGACTTTTAAATATATTTAAAGGAACTGTGCACCCAATCACAACAATCCACTTTAGAATAGATTTTTCACTCTTAAAAAAACTATACTCATTAGCAATAATCCCACTACTACTTGTCCCCAATTTTCTTCTGAACTGCCAGCCCCTAGAAACCACTAATCAATCTCCCTTCTGTCTCAATGGCTGCCTTTCCATTCAGATAAATGGAAGCACACAATAGACAGTATTTTGTGTCTGTTTTCTATCACTTAAAAGTTCATCCCTAGTGTACCAGGTACGTGTCTGACTTTGAACATGCTGAATTTGCAGTGCTTTAGGATATTCATGTGAGACTTTCAAAGTTCCTCATGCACAAACTTGGGATATAAAATGATGTAACTGGGATCAAAGGCGCATGCCACCACGCCTTTAATCCTGGCCCTCGGAAGGCAGAGGCAGGCAGATCGCTACAAGATGGAGGCCACCCTGGTTCACATTGTGACTTCCAGGTGGGCTGTGACTAGGGAGACCCTGTGAAAAAACAACCAACAAAAAGACCAAAAAAAAAAAAAATGATGTAACTACAGGTTGCAGATGTAGCTCAATGGTACAATACTTGCTTACCATATGTGAGATACTATAGTTTAATCTCCACCCCACAAAAAATTGATGTAAACAGTACCTTGTACTCAATAGTCACTTTTGAGCAAAAGTGTCCTTAATTTAAGGAAAAAAGGAAGCAACATTAGAAGAGACCAATGATTTCCAGACCTTCACTCTTCTTTAGGGCAAAGACTGAGGTAAAACGGAGTGACAGATCCAAGTAATCAGTTTTTCCACATGGAATGTGGTTTCAGAGTAGCACATGCTATGGGGACCACTTAATGCCCTACTTTGCCATAGGTACCTTAGTTCAGATTTGGCAGGCAGATTAGCGGCAATGCCTCATTCCTTTCCTTAGCTAAGGGTTAAGAAAATGGAGCTCAATTCTTATATAGCATGCTAATCATAGGGCACCTCATTTCATGCTATACTCACAGAATTGGGCTTTGTTCAAACAAAAATCTTTAAAATTTTAGGGATTGCTTGTAAGCACAGACAGAAGCCACATGGGAAAAGGCCAGGGCAATACATCTATAATACAAAGATATAAGATGTAGTGTCCAGTCTATGAAAAAGTTGTATGGAACCCTACTTTGTAAGCCAACTGAAAATATAAGAAAGGAAATAGAAGACAGATATTCTGCATGGCTAGATAATGTTAGTTCTAGGAGCCACCGCTTATCAAACAAAAATATCAGGTATGGGATATTTCCTTATTAATGGCTGGTGGTCAGGGAGGCCCCCAAGGCTCCCAAAATAATACAGTCTATTGTCATTTCTCTTAGCTGCCTACCAGAACTAGATGATAAGACCTTATTACTGAAGATACCACTCACCTTGGTTGAAAGACAAAGAGAAAGTGAGCTGGAACTAAGCTAGAAACTTCTATGTTGGCTAGCTTTCATAGTGCTGGATGGTACTATGTAGGCTGCTGAGGGAGTAAAGATCTCAACAGCCTTACCAACTGTGGACCCTGCATGCTTCAATGCCACCCTACTAGGCAAGATGCATGCTCTCTGATGCAATAGTGGCATGACTATTATGAGATTAATCAACTACTCTTGGACTGAATTTGAGGCTTGCTCCACAGGAGGAAATACATGCGTAGTACAGTAAACTTAGTCAAAACCCATGGCTAGTGAGGTCATAGGATCTAGGGGAGAACTTACTACTGTAGTTTAGCTAAACTGATACTGCATCGAACTGCAGTCTATGCTTATACACACAGAAAAACACTACTCCTAGCCTTAATCATACAAATCTGTGCAGGGAATTCAGAGCCTCATGGCAGCTCAAGATGCTTAGAATAAATGATGCTTGAGTGCTCTGCACTAAACAGAGTATCTATATCAAGGCCTCTAAGGCTCAGAAACACTGTAAATGAGACTGGAAAGAATGAAAGAGCTGGAAGATGAGGAGAAGGGATGCAAAATGCTACCTTCAGAGCATGACACAGCCATGGCAAAAAATGATCTCACAGCAGCTAGTTACCTGCATTGGGCCTGGACAAGACTGGGCCTATCACTAGCCAATCAAGGATCTGGAAGGGGCTCATGGGACCCTACTCCTCCCTGTTGAACTTTTAGCCACTGATGGATTCTGGAGAAGGGACAGTCATTGCCTTCAGTTGTGCAGCAAATGGTGAAACCACCAGGCTTCAATGCATAGTTCTGAGCCTGTGGCCACAGTTGTTCCTCCTTAAAAGCAATGGGTCACTAAACAAAACAAATAGGTATGAATGTGGGATGGGGATCTTGGGGAAGAGTTGGGGATAGCACAAGTGGGAGGGAGATAAGTGGATGAAGAGTGACAGTAAACATGGTATACTGTATACATGTATGAAATTGTCAAATAACAATCACTAAAAATTTTTAAAGAAATAAAAATTAGTGTCTGGAAGAGTATACCTAAGAAAATGCAGTAAACACTTTTTTTGAGATAGCAATGAAATGCAACACTAAGGCAGGCCTATGACCCTACAGATTAAAGACCCATAGCAGGTTGGAGTTTCTATTAGGATATATCCTTTATTTTAGGATGAAGGCCTGAAGTCTGACCTCTATTTGTTGTGAAATGGGGTTAGTGAGAAATGTAATCTGAAACAACTCCAAGGTCAGCAGGAATCAACAAACTGAGGCAAAAAAACAAAATGACAAAATGAAGCGGGTTGAAGGAACATATGGACATTGCAGATTGAAGAAGTAAAGCAACCACTCAGAAGCCCTAAATCACCTGAGAGAGGCAGAGCAGAGTGAAATGAAGCTAAAACTCAAAGTTTAGCACAGAACCAACAGGCAATACATACATACACATAAAATAAAATAAAATATTTAAAAAGACTTTATAGGTATAAATATTTAAAGGAAAACTTATGATTATAAATTTGTAAAACTATAGTTTTGTCATTTGATAGCAAAACTAGAGATTCATTTCTCAGAAGTGGCCTAAAATTATAAACAAAAATGAATCTTAAAAATTGGCAAACACAGGGACTGGAGAGATGGCTCACTGGTTAAGAGCATTAGTTGCTCTGGTAGAGGACCTGGGTTCCATTTCCAGCACCCACATGGCAACTAACAATCATCCACAACTCCGGTTCCAGGGGATCTAATGCCCTTTTCTGACCCCTGAGGGCATTTTACAACATGGGTGCACTTATGTACACGAAGGCAATACATTCATACACATAAAAAATAAAAATAAAATATACTTTAAAAATTGGCAAACATCTCATTTAACTGATGTAATGCTATTGTTTTCATATCATTTTGATGCTATGTCTTCAAATATTAACATGACTAGTTTAAATAAAATCAATCCACAATTTAAAGAGCACACAATTCAAATTATCAAGTTAAGAATCTTTTTATTGGCATTTTGAGTTAGCATTTTGAGTTAGCATGATGGGAAGATGCCATGACAAAACTCATTATTTTGTATGTGAACATATAGATTAATTTTTAAAAAGGGCTGAAGATGTTGCTCAGTTGGTAGAGTGCTTGCCTAACATATACAAATTTGTGGGTTTAATCCTTAGCACCACCTAAATCTGGGTAGGGTAATACACACCCAATCCTAGCAGCCAGGAGGTAGAGGCAGGAGGATCAAAAATTCAGGGCATCCTTAGTTACATAATGAGTTTGAGGCCAGCCTGGGATACATGAGACCTTGTGTCAAAAATAAAAATAAAACCACAAAGAAAAAATACAGAATTATAAACAGTTCAAGGTCACTGTGCTGGCTAAGCTTAATTATCAACTTAACACACCTGGGAAGAGGGGCCCCTCAACTGAAGAATTTCCTCTATCAGTCAGACTGGCCTATGTGCGTTTCTGTGGAGACATTTTACTGATTGCTAATTGATGTAGAAGGGCCCAGCCCACTGCGGGCATACTATCCCTAGGCAGCTGGGCCTGGGTTTTTGTTGTCTTTTTGAGACAGGGTCTCCTTGTAGCCCCAGCTGTCCTGGAACTCGCTATGTAGATGAGGCTGGCCTTGAACTCACAAAGATCCGCCTGCCTCTGCCTCCCAAGTGCTGGATTAAAGGCGTGTGCCACCATGCCCGGCTAGGGCCTGGGTTTTTTAAGAAAGGTAGCTGACCTTAAGCCTGTGAGCAAACTAGTGAGCAGCATTCCTCCATGGTTTCAGTCTCTTCTCCTTCTTGGGTCCTGCCCTGACAGCCCTCAAAGATGAACTGAAACCCATTAGATTTTGAAATAAACCCTTTCCTCCCCAAGTTGCTTGTAGTCACAGTGTTTATCACAGTAACAGAAAGGAAACTCAAATAGTCACTTTACTCCATTGTTGCTGGAATTTTTTAAAATTAGCATAATGAAATCAACTTCAGTATCCAACAATGGATAATTCAACAAAGAAAATGTGATATATTTATGTAATAGAATACTACCCACCCTTAAAAAAGGACATCCTGCCATTTGCAACAATGTGAGTGAACCTGGAAATTATGTGAAATAAGCCAGGCACAGAAAGAAAAATACTGTAAGATCTCACCTATATTTCATCTACGAAAGATGAACTTCTAGAAGTATAGAATATCAGTTTTCAGGTTCCAGGGGCGGGGGTTATGGTAGACAGATTAGGAAGATGATGGTCAAAGAACACAAAATTTCAGTTAGAAAAAATTTAAGCAATCCATTGCACCTGATGATTACTGCAGTTAATAACTATATTCTTAGAAATTGCTGATGAGGGATATTTTGTTTGTACAAAAAAAGTGTAAGTAATCCACAGACTGACTAGGTAGATTGCCAGTCCACAATGTACATATTTCCAAACATCATACTGTACCTCATAAAGATAATTTTAACTCATCATTTAAAAATAATTTTTAGTAAAAGCATGTTAATGATGACACAGAATTATGAATTAATATCACTGATTTAGTAAAATGGCAAATTTTATATCATAAATATTGCAACACTATAAAAAACATGAAGCAGAAAAAAAGAAGAGTGTATTTTTAATTATTCACTTTTTATATAAAATCAGTTCAGTATCTTTGGCACTCAAATACTTACTAAGACTAAAATATATTAGTCCAAAGCCTTTACTTAAATTTTCATCTTAAAGACTAAGTATATAACAGAAACACTAAAAGTTCAAAGAGATGGCATATTTGAATTGCTTCAGGTAGAATATCTAAAAAGCATTTTAAGATTAAATAATCTCATAATTCTATCAATTAGCATCACTCTTGAAACTTTCATTCAACTATCATAAAATAATAATAACCTTCTTAAAATCTAGGTTATTTCTTAAACTAGATGAAAATCCTAATTATTTAACTAAGATTTAAAGTCACTTAATATTTTTTAAATGATTATTGTCCAACTAACCTTTTTCCCTTCAGGAATCTGTTTCTGAATTTATTGGTGATAAAGCCCCTTGGACCAGCAAACTGTAAACGCTGATATTTAGCCTGAATACACCAGCTCTTCTGTACCAGGTGTGACTTATAATGGGGCTGGAATATGCCAACCATAAGCTTCTGTAAAGGATCAAAAAGAGAATTAAATGTTAAAACTAGAGTTCCCAAATCGACTCTAAGAGTTGACAGGAAAATGTCTGCTATGCACATATGTCCTTGATTCTAGTCACCGCAGATATTTAAAAAGGTATTAATGAATGGCAATAAAGTGTTATTTCCCTCAAACTAGCTACTAGTTGGGCTGGAGACATGGCTCAGTGGTTAAAAGCACTGGCTGCTCTTGCAGAGGATCTGGGTTTAGTTCCTAGCACCCATATGGTGGCTAATAATCATCCACAACTCCAGTTCCAGGGGATTCAACACCCTCTTCTAGCCTCTGTGCTTTGTGGGCATTGTATGACACAGGTGCACTTACATGCATACAGGCAAAACATTCATACACATAAATATTTTAAAAGCAACTAGTTTATTTTATATTAAAAACTTTGTTTTATATAAAATTGATTTTAAAAACTGTTAGTAATGGGGATTGGGTAAGGCTCAGTCAGTAAAGTGCCTATAGTGCAAGCCTGAGGACCCGAGTTCAGATCTTCAGCACCCACATAAAAGCCAGGTGTAGCAGCACATAGCTCTAACCCCAATACTGTAGGACTGGGAGAGCAGTGATAGACAGATCCCTGGAGTGTTCGGCCAGCCAACCTATCCAAATTGATGAGCTCCTGGTTCAATGAGAGAACCTCTCAAAAAATAGTGAATCTAATTTCATTCTTCTACATGCTGATGTTCAGGTTTCCCAGCACCATTTGTTGAAGATGCTGTCTTTTCTCCAGTGTATATTTTCAATGTCTTTGTTAAGAAACCAGGAAGCTGTAGTTGCATGAACTTATATCTAGGTCCTCTATTCCAATGATCTTATTTTTTTTCTAGTACCATGCTGTTTTTAATACTATGGCTCTGTAGTATGACCTGAAATCAGGCATGGTGATAACTCCCACAGTATTCTTTTTGTTTGGAAACATTTTGGCTATTCTTGGGTATTTTATGCTTCCATATAAATTATAAGACTTTTTCTATGTCAGTGAAGAATATCCCTGGGATCATGTGGTTGGCATTTCCCTGAATCTGTAGATTGCCGTTGGCAGGATGACCATTTTCACATTATTTACTCTTCTGATCCCTAAGCACAGGAGGCCTTTCCATTTTACAGTGTCTTCCTCAATTTCTTCAGTGCCTTAAAGTTTCCACCATAGAGGTCTTTCGTTTCCTTGGTTAGTTGGTCTCAGGTATTTTCGTGTGTGTGGCTATCGTGAATGGGACTGTCTCACTGATTTTTTTTTCAGTATGTCATTGGTATAGAGAAAGGCTACTGACTATTGTGTGTTAATTTTGTATTATACCACTTTGCTGAAAGTTTTTGATCAGTTCCAAGAGTTTTTTTGTGAAGCATCTAGGGTCTCTTATGTATAGGCTTATATCATTTACATAAAGGAATATCTTCTTTTCTGACTTGCATCGTTTTATTTCCTTCTCTTCTCTTACTGCTCTAGCAGTAAGGGGAAGGAAGGAGGGAGGGAGGGAGACTGATTGATTCCTCTTCTTCAGGGTCCATAAACATTCTGCCTAGCCTAGTTACACCCATCTGCCTTGGCCCTAGGGCCCTCTTCCTGAATGTCCTGCCTGAGAACTCCAGACAACCCTGACAAGTTAGACCTTGCCCACTTCATCTGGATTCCCCAGCACCCTGACCAGCTACATTCTCTCTCCCCATGCTGTCTCCATCCCTGTCTGTGGTCTAGGCAACCCTCCTTCACAGCTCTAGACAAGACTCCTAATCCAGACCACACCCACTGCGTCCTGATACCTCCTGCACCCAGATTAGCTACATTCTCCTACTTCAGAGTCCACACCTGATCTGCCTAGCTAGTTAGACCATCCCCACACTGTTCCCACCAGCTCTTGGCCCTAGACCTCCTTCTGATCATTCTGCGTGAGACATTCAAATTATCCTGGTAAGGCAGACCCCACAAACTGCATCTTGATTCCCCAGCACCGTGACCAGCTACACACTGTCTCTCCCCATGCTGTCCCCATTTCTGCTTTAGGCCTAGGTCCGCTCCTGTTCTTTCCACCTGAGACCCCACCCACTGCATCATCATTGATCCCCCTGTACCCAGACCAGCTACATTCTCCTGCTCCAGGGTCCATACCTACTGTAGCTAGTTAGAGGAGGTCAAATGATTCCTATTTGCAGATGATATGATATTATACATAAGAGATCCTAAAAATTCCACCAGAAAACTAGAAATCATCAACACTCTCAGTAAACTGGCAGGTTACAAAATCAATTTATAAAAAATCAGCCTTTTTGTATACCAATAACAAGCAATCAGAGAGAAAGTTCATGGAAACATTCCCCTTCACAATAACCTAAAAAAAAAAATCTAGGAATAAACCTAACCAAAGACATTAAAGAACTCTATAATGAAAACCTTAAAACTTAGAAGAAAAGACTGAGGAAGACACAAGGAGATGGAACTACCTCCTGTGCTCATGGTTTGGAACAACATTGTGAAAATGATCATCCTACCTAAAGCAATTTATAGATTCAATGCAATGCCAATCAAAATCCTTTTTTTTTTTTTTACAGAATTAGAAAAAAAAATCCTAAAATTCATATGAAACCACAAAAGATCCTGGATAGCCAAGCAATCCTGAGCACAAAGAGCAATGCCAAGGAGATTACAATACCAGATCTCAAACTGTATTATACAGCTTTATTTAATATGTATGAATGTATTGCTTGCATGCAGGTAGGTGCACCCGTGTCATGCAATGCCCAAGGATGTCAGAAGAGGGCAACAGATCCCCTGGAAATGAAGTTAAGGAGGGTTGTTAGACAAACATAATATCTTATTGTATGCTAAATAGGAATTCTTATATTTACAGACAAGTATACCTGTCACCATGCATCAAAGAAGCCTCTTTTTGCGACAGATGGAGACTATTAAGAGTTCTACAACTGGTTAAACACAGAGAATAATTGTATGTGAGATGCTCAGCCCTAAGTGACACATCTACAATAGAACCTCTATACCTAAGGCTCACAGAACAGAGCAGAACAGAAGGTAGAATACTAATGCATCTCTCAACTCTCAGCAGCAAAGCTTCCTCATGCGACAAAGTACAATTAACACAGAAAGTCACAACTGACCAAAATGTAGAGAATAAGAGACTGCAGAGTATGGGTTCCTGGATGGGACTCCTTTATTAAATCTTTGCTACCCAGGATTCAGGGATCATTGTGAAAGAGAAGGTGGATTTACTATAAGAGCCAGCAGTGGTGGATGACCACCAGCAAAGTTTTCCAGGCTTCTGGGAACTTGCTTGTATGAACTTACATCAATGGTCACAGCATGCACAAGATCCATACAAACTCAAATCAGACAAAAACCAGCATAGAACTAGGGAATTAGACATGAAGCCCCAACCGCAGCCAGTAACTATTGGCAGCTTATCACTGGTGGGTGAGAGAGAGTTGGTCTTCTTTAAGGCACCAAGGCTAGATAGTCTGACCAAGCTCCAGTGCATGAACTCACACCAAGGGACATCTTGGGACACAAACTTGACTTGATAGGCCTTAACATATATGACAGAATGCATGAAATCCAGTGGAGGGGGGCTATGGGAGGGTTCAGATGGGGAGGGGGCCAAAATATGATTAAGATGTATTGTATGAAATGCACAAAAATTCAATAAAAATATATTGAAAAAAGATAAACATTCTTAATTTTCCCATCCTTACATTCTAAATAGATTTTTAAACGGTTTTATTTTATGTGTATGGGTGTATGCCTGAATGTATTCACCACATGTATGCAGTGCTCATGAAGGCCAGAAGAGGGCATCATATCTCCTGGAACTGGAGTTACAGATGGTTGTGAATCACCATGTGGGTGCTGGGACCTTAACTCAGGTCCTCTGCAAAAATCTCTTAAACCACTGAGCAATCTCCCTAGCCCTCAAGCACTATATAGAGTAGCAGTGGAGTATAGACATCTTTGTCTTGTTCTTAATCTAAGTGGAAATGCTTTGTGGTTTTCTCCATTTAGTTTGACGTTGGCTAGGTTTGTGGTATATAGCCTTTATTATGTTATGTTCCCTCCATCCCTAGCCTCTCCATAATTTTTATTGTGAAATGATGTTGGATTTTGTCAAAGGCATTTTCCGCTTCTAATGACATAATCACATGATTTCTATCTTTGAATCCTTGCAGTGAATTACATTTATTAATTTACATACGTTTAACCATTCCTGTGTTCCAACCAAATTGTGATGATCTTTTTCATGTGATACTGAATTCAGCTTGCATATATTGAGAATTTTTATATCTATGCCCATCAGGTAGATTGGGCTTTAATTTTCTTTTATTGTTATGTATTTGTCCAGTTTCATATCAGTAATACTGGCTTTGTAAAGAGTTTAGAAGCATCCCTGGCTTTTCTATTTTGTGGAATATTTTGAATAGTATTTCTGTTGGTTTTTCTCTGAAGGTCTTGTAAAATTCTGCAGTGAATCCATCTGGTCCTGAGAGAGTTCTTTTTTTTTTTTTAATTAGTTGGGAGACTTTTTATCACTGCTTCAATCTCATTATTGGTAGTATGCCTTTTTAAATTATTTATTTCATCTTGGTTTAACTTTGGTAGGTCATATGCATCCAGAAATTCATCCATTTCTTCTAGATTTTCCAACATAGTAGAATATAGGTTTTTAAGATATGTCCTTCCTGTTTTCTGAATGTCATTGGTATCTATTTTTATGTCTCACTTTTTCATTTCTAATTTTATTGATTTGGGTGGTCTCTTTTAATTAACTTGGCTAAGGACATGTCAAACTTGTTCATCTGTTCAAAGAACCAACTGTTGCTTCACTGAATTTTTTTTGTTTCTATTTCCTCAATGTCTGCCTTGATCTCAATTATTTCCTCCTACGTACTACTCTTTGGTTTGGTTTACTTTCATTTTTCCAAGATCTTAAGAGGTATCATTATTTAAGGTCTCTCAAAATTTGTAATGTAGGCACTTAGAACTCTACTGTATCTCACCTTGCCCAAAAATCAACTCCAGTGGATCAAAGACCTCAACACAAGACCGGATACCCTGAAACCTCTAGAGGAAAAAATTAAGGAGTAAACTTCTTTTTTATTTTAAATATTTTTATTATTTTTATTTTATGTGTATGTGTGTATTGGCTGCATGTAGGTAAGTGCATCCATGTTGTACAGTGCTGGCGGAGGTCAGAAGAGGCTGTCGGATCCCCTGGGACTGAAGTTATGGACAGTTGTTAGCTGTCATGTGGGTGCTGGAATTCGAACCCGGGTCTTCTGAAAGAGCAACCAGTGTTCTTAACTGCTGAGCCATCTCTCCAGGCCCCAAGGAGTACACTTTAACACATAGGCATAGAGAAGGAATTTCTAAATAGGACTCAGCACAGGAAATAAAACCAGGAACTGACAAATAGGATCTCATAGAGTGAAAAATGCCTCTGTATAGCCTGGATTGAGCAAAGAGGAAGCCCAAAAATATTTCTCAGCCACATATCTGGTAGAGGATTATTAACTAGAATATATATGGAACTAAAAAGCTGAAGTCCATGAAAAACAAAAAAAAAAAAACAAAACAAAACAAAAAAACCCAAAGGAGCTATGGAACTAAGCAGAGCTCTCAAAAGAGGAAATACAAATAGCTAGGAAATACTTTAAAAAGTAACTCTTAGTAGGTTGACCAGGCTCCAGTGCATGAACTCACACCAAAGGGCATTTGGGAACACAAACTCGACTCTATCGGCCTAAATTATATATATATATATGAGAGTACAGAAATTTGGTGACGATAAGGGGGTACAGATACAGCAGAGATCTAAATATGATCAAATTATATTATATGACATTCACAAAAATTCAACAACAAAAAAATTTTTTTTAAGTGTCCAATTGCTGGGCGTGGTGGCACAGGCCTTTAATTCCAACACTCAGGAGGCAGAGGCGGATCTCTGACTTCAAGGCCAGCCTGGTCTACATAGTGTGTTCCAGGCCTGCTGGGGCTACAGGGAGACCCTGTCTCAAAAAAGACCAAAAAAAAGTGTTCAATCATTGGGGAAATGCAGATTAAAACTACTTTAAGAATCCATCTCACCCCAGCCAGAACAGCCATCATCAAGGATACAAATGACAACAAATGTTGGCGTGGATGTGGGGAAAGGGGAAACCTTATACATTGCTATTGATAGGAATATAAACTAGTATACTCAAGTTGGAAGTCCAGAGGTTCCTCAAAAAGTTAGAAGTAGAACTATTGAGCTGGGCATGGTGGTACACACCTTTAATTCCAGCACTCAAGAAGGAGAGGGAAAGGGTGAGGGAGAGGGGGAGAGGAGAGAGGAAGAAGGGGATGGGGAGAGGGGGAGTGAAGGGGGCAGGGGCAGAGGCAGAGGCACGAGGATCTCTGTGAGGTCGAGGCTACTCTGCTAGATCTACACAGCCAGTGTAGTTCCAGGCCAGCTGGGGCTATAGGGAGATCTTGTCTTCAAAAAGGCCAATCACATGACCCAGACATACCACTCCTGGGACATGCACACAAAGGATTCTCTATCCTACTACAGACAAGAGACATTGGCAGCTCTATTCACAATAGCTAGGAAATGGAATCAGCCCATATGTCCACCAAGTAACAAATGGATGAATGGTACATATGCACAATGGAATTTTATTCAACTATAAAAAAAAAGAAATTATGAAATCTGCAGTATGCAACTGGAAAAAAAATTTTTCAAGGTAACCCAGGCCCAGAAAGACAAAGACAAACACTGCATGTTCTCTCTCATATGCAGATCCTAATCACAAAACTCTAGTTTTGTGTGTTTAACTTGAAGTACCTCCAGAAGCCAGGAAACTAGAAAATCAACAGTGGACAGGATACCCTTAAAGAAGGGGGACAGTAGCACATAGGTAAAATGAGGGTAGAGAAGGGGAATACTGGGGGTTAAAGGTTCATACAGGGAGAAAATGAGGGTATGGAGGACATGAGAGGATGGGCATGTTAATGAAAACAAAGAGAATATGAAAAAGTCACTCAGGTACCTACTATTTGCTAACTCAATTAAAAAAAAAAACATGAGAAATTGAAGGCAGACACCTTGCAAGGCTAGACAATGCCAGTCCTAGAAACAATGAGTCACTAAACAAAAATGCTAGTGCCAGGTGTGGGAAACCTCCATAGGAGTCATTGGTCAGAGAGTTCCCAAAGTCCTCCAAAACAATACAGATACTGCCATTCCTCTTGGGTTGACCATCAGAACTAGCTAACAAGATCTTTTCCTATAGATACCACACATCTTGGTTGCAAGACAGAGAAGGTAAGCTGGAACTGAACTGGAAGCTTCTTCCCTACTGGCTAGCTTTCATAGAATTGGATGTACTCGTTGAGGTGGTACATGCCTTTAATCCCAGCATTCAGGAGGCAGAGGCAGGTGGATCTCTGTGAGATCAAGGGCAGTCTGGTCTATACAGCGAGTTCCAGGCCAGCTGGGAATACACGAAAACCCTGTCTCAAACAGCAACAACAAACATGGTACTGAATGGGGCTATGCAGACTCCTGAGGAAGTAAAGACATCAAAGGTCTTACCCAGCTCTGAACTCTATGAACTACATTACCAACCTGCCAAGCGTGATGTTTCCATTGGTGAAATGGTGGAATGACAGTTATAGGGATAATCAACTGCTCCTTCACTGCATTGAGGCCCAGTCCACAAAAAGAAATCCATGCCTAGTACTATAAACTGGATTAAAAACCTATGACCAAGGCAGTCGTAGACCCCAGAAGAGAATCTACTACCACTGCTTAGGTAAACTGGCATAGTATCAAACTGCCTCCTAAATATTTGTTTATACGCACAAAGACTTCTCTCAACCAGAAAAGCCTCTCTGCAATGAACCGAGGCAAATGCAGAAACTTATGGCTACACAAGATGCTGAGAATAAAGAATTGAGAGCTTGGCCCTAAATAAGACATTTGCATCACCCCCTTAAGGCTTAGGGAACATTGTAGAAGAGATGGGAGAAGAAGTTAAGAACCAGAAGACAGGGAGAAGGGCTGTGAAATGCTCTCTTCTAAGCATGACAAACCAAGGCAATCATGAACTCACAGCACCTGTACCTACTGGCACTGGGTTCACACAAGTCAGACCCACCTTATAGTGAGTTATGGATGCGGAAGGGCCCTACCACTTAATGCTGAATTATTGGCAAGAAACAGATTATGGGATAGGGGAAGACACAGTACCCTAATTTATAGTTAGTGTTGAGCCCACCAAGGTCGAATGGATAGTTCCAAACCCAAGTCACACAGGTGGCCCTAGATCCCTCTGTGGGATGAAAAACAAACAAAAAGTCATGAATACAGGAAAGAGATTTGTAAGAGGGTGGCTGGCAGGTGTGGGGGCAAAAGAAGATGCAAGCAAACAATAACAGAATGTATTCTATACATGCATAAAATTGTCAAAGAACAAAATTTATCAATAAAAGAAAAGTAAGATGGAGTGCTCCTGACACCAACCTCTGATCTCCACACACGGGAGCACATGTACGTATACACACACACACACGCGCGCACACACACACACACACAAAAAACCACACACATACACACAGAGCAAGAAAGAGAGAGTAAGTTTAAGGAATTCGAAATGAATTACTGACATTCATTGTACTGAAAAATACAATTTTCAAAAGTTCTAATGAACTAAAATTATTTTTCTGATTCAGTAACTATATCAATTATCAGTGAGGGGAGAGAAGACATTAAGTAAAAACATCTAAGAATCAAAACCCTTTAATTTTATTCCTACAAATACATTATATCATTTATAATTATGAAGAGCAAATCCTGGCCTACATACCATCCAGCATAATAGACCTAAGAGGACTATGAACCTTTGTTCTCTTGTAATTTTATGCTTGGAGTGGGAGGAGCCTTCAGTTTTGTCAGACATGAACCAATCTTCAAACCTTCCCAAACAATTCCACAAAGCTCCCTTCCCTCACTGTTTCTACCATACACTCCTTGTGGCCCCGTGCATTCAAGTATCCTAATCAGTTTAAGACAGAGGGCAGAAGTGGTCCACATGCTCACAGAGGAAGTCTACCACTGCCCCACTAAGTTTGGGTTTTTTTTTTGTCTTTTTGAGACAGCATCTCCCTGTAGCTCAAGCTGTTCTGGAACTATGTAGACCAGGCTGGCCTTGAACTCACAAAGATCCGTCTACCTCTGCCTCCCAAGTGCTGGGATTAAAGGTGTGCATCACCATGCCCGGTCCCCGCTAAGTTTTAAAACCTTGGCTACTGATAACTTTTGGAAGAAGTTACACTACTATTTGAAAAAAAGGCTCTAATAGTAAAAATAAAATTAAAAGTCAAATCCTGAAGAAATAAGTCATTTTTAAACTGGTAACAATTTAACTAGAAATACTAGAAAGTCATATAGACCAGAAGCACTAGTTGATATTTGAAAGAATATCACACAAAAATTTACTACACAACATCATGTCCAAACTATAAGCCCAATGTCATACATAAATGGAAAATAACATTCAATACCTTAAAATGTCCTTTAAAGCCTCTTCTGTTCTGATGATTTTCATCAACTCTAAATATCTTCTGAGCAAGGGTATCTTTTCTCTGCATAGTATAATTCTGAACAGAAAGTATTAATATGGGTTAATATACTTTAAGGCTTATTTTAAAAAACAGTTTCACCATTTAAGACATATGTTTGAAGATTAAGAGATTAAGAACCCAAAGCAGGTAGCATGGAGCTTACAGACTTCTTCCTTCACATACCCATGCTAGCTTGTGAGGGGGGACAGTTTCATTCAAGCCTGTGAGAAGTGTGGGGGAAAAAAAAACACTGTATAACACAATGGTTGACTTTTAGAAAGTGGACTATAAATCTAGCATTTAGTTATGTAAGCATCTTGGAAAGAAAAAAAAACCCTAACTAGCAGGAGTTGCTAAAGGGTTTCTACTGTCTAAGAAGAACATAAATCCTCATTGCTGCCAGGAGGCAAGTTAGGCTAACATAGACTCTAACTGTTTGAAGGTAATATGCTAGTCATGGTTTGGGAAGTCCCAGAAACAAGAGAAAGAACTGTATTAGCAATCTGTAACTACAAAAACTTGAGTCCTCTAGCAGAAATAGGTAAGACAGAGCCCATCCTGGCAGTTTCCTATTTCTAAAATCATCATTCTTATTACCTTTATTAAATGCCTTTCTGTGGAGTCTGACCAGAGGGAGGATTGTACTAGGAAGCCGCTGACATGGCTCTTAATAATTTCCATCAATGATCCTTCTCTTTGAGTGTGAGTATAGCCTAGTAGCTTGCTTTTTTCAATAACAATACAGTAAAGTAATGGGATGTTACTTTTAAAATTCAGTTAAAAACCAACTCTGGCTTTTATCCTTTAGCCATCCCTTAGAGAAGAGTGGTCAGCTATTATTTTGTGATCTGTCCTATAAGCAAATTTTTTTAAAATAGAAAGATTAGTGGTTTGCTAGGGGTGAGAACAGAGAATAAATATTGAATAATAAAAATATACCATCCACACAACTAAGGCTCATGGAACATAGTAGAATAAGGGGTAGAGAGAGGGTTAATGCACCCCTTAACTCTCACCAGTGAGGGTTCCATGTACATCGGAGTGCAATACATACAGAAGGCCACAACTGGCCAAGTTTTGGAGAATAAGAGGCTGTAGAGTGTAGGATGGGACTCCTATATGGAACCTCATTCATTCACAGCTCAGGGAGCACTGTGGAAGAGGAGGCAGAAAGACTGTAAGAGCCAGGGCTGGTTCAGGAACAAGGGGGGTGGAGGATTCCAGGCCACTGGAGGCTTGTTCATGTGAACCTGTGGTAGCAGTGGCATCGAGCGCGGGACCCATGTCAGCTCAATTAAACAAGGGCCCAAGGGGGAGGTGAGAAATAAGTGGCATGCCAGCACTACATTGAGAACTATTTGAGACTGATTGCTACTGGACGAGGAAGAGTTTGACTCACATACGACCAGTGGATGGGCTGACTAGACTCCAGACATTTGGGTACAAGTACCTGAATAAATAGGACTCAGCATGTATGGCAGAGTGCATAGGGTTTGCTGGCGGGGATAAGAGGAGGCATGGATGGGGGAGGGGGTCTGGATTTGAGTGGGAATTGTATGAAATTTAAAAGCTCAATTTAAAAAAATATCCTATCCAGGCATGGTGGCTATGCTTGTAAACTCAGCACTTGAGAGGTGAAAGCAGTAAAATTGCAAGCTTGAAGCTAGCCTGGGTGCATAGTTGAGTTCTAGCTCAGCCTGAACTACAAAGTGAAATCCTGTCCTTTAAAAAGTCCTACAACTGGATTATAGTGATGACTACACATCTTGGTGAATTTATTAAAAATCACTAAATTCTACATTTGAAATGAGTTAACTTTACAGTGTGTAAATTATATGTTAATAAAGTTGCTACTAAAACACCTTAAGAAAATTAGTACCGCAATAAATCAAAAAATTCCACTATATAAGAAATGAGCTTTGTCATAAAAACTGTAAGTCTCAACAGTCTTACAACACATAATGAAGTTACAAAACATTTTGAAAAGTATGGATGTATTTAAATAGAATGTACAAAAATGAAAAACTTGAAACGCCAATCTTACTATGTTAGGTTTCTGAATAAATTTTCTAAAATTTGGTTTTATAAAATGTGGAGGCTTTTGGGATCCATCAGCACGAATAATCTTCACCTTTGAAAAATTGGGACAATGATGATTCCTAATAAAGAGAAAGAAAATAAGAATCTTTGGTTACTTTACTTTTGGCAAAGAAATACAAAGAAAACAACAAAACAAAAAAACCTTCAAAGATACAGTAGAACTGTAAAACATCAACTATCTATCAGTAGTAAAATTAAAAAATCATAGTTATTAGGAGTAATGCCCTTATTTTTCAATAAACATTATTTAGCTAAACTAAAAGTTAGCTAGGGGAAAAACAATATTCCTTGTACAAGGATTCTTAATCTGAGTTCTAAAGATAAGACTCCTAGATGCTGCAACTGATATATGAAATGTGGTTTTCCTCAGGGAAAGAATATCATTGCTCTAAGGTATTTGACAGACCTCCCCTGCCTCTCAGGGACTCCCAATGGCTCATGACCCAACCCATTTATCAGAGGTCAGGTATGGGAATGAACACGGTCAGCTCACTGGCAAAGGTGAGGGCTCTGATCCTACTAGGCTACAGGAGCAAAAGGCGCTCCCATCTCCTGACACTGAGATCTGAGGTCACAAAGGGCTCTCTCAGGTCTGAGTGGGAGGCAGATCCTGGAAGCTTCCTTTCCTCAGTTCTTAGAAATTCATTTCCTTATCATCTTCCACATCTTCCCGCACTGCTCCTAACACCCTATGTCTTCAGCAGGACCTGTTCCTTAGTGAAACAACTGCCCTGCTTTAGTCCCTCTCATTCATTTTGTACTGGCATGAGGATTTAATTCACACTTTTCCTGATTCCCAAGATCCTTCTTGCCCTGGCTCTGCCTTAATATCTGCCTTATTCCAATCTCCTCAACACACATAATGAACTTCAAGGATAGTTAATTATATGTGGTTCCCAGCACATACCAGTCTTTCCTGCTTCCATATCCTTGCACCTACAATTTCTTCTATGATCACTTCCTTCCATTTAAATTAACTTCAAAGTTCCTCTCCATTCATACCTCTTCCAAAGGTTTTCCTAAAGACTCTAATGCAGAATAGGTACTCTACTATGAGACATACAGGATAACACCTATCTCTCCATGTTTCTAACTACAGGTACCTGTATGTTTAATGGAAGCAGTTTTGATTCCCCCTGTGAATGGTTCATTTGAGACTCCATCTCTGACCCCAGAACCTGACACAAAATAAGATTTCAGGGTCTTTGAGATGTTCAACAATCCTGTCCTCTCAAAATGTTTATGATCTGATAGTCGAAATAGCAGGGTGTAATGCTATACATTGTGGATAATTTCAATACTTAAAATGCACAAACATGGGGCTAGAGAGCAGTTAAGAGCACTGGCTACTTTTGCAGAGGACCTGGGATCAATTCCCAGCACCCACATGGCGGCTAACAACTCTCTATAACTTCAGTTCCAAGAGATCTGATGCCCTCTTCTGACCTCCACAGACATTATATAACATGGGTGCATTTACATATGCAGGCAAAACACTCAAACACATAAAATAAAAAGTCAAAAACAATTTTAAAGTACACATACGTGCCTGGAAAAAGACAAATGACAGAAAATATTAGTTTACTGTGGTCATTTCCAACTGGAAAAATTACAAAAGCCTTATATTTTATATTTTGTTATATTTTTCCAGATGACTATCATTAGCACAATATGACTACTTCTATAAACAAAATAGTGTGCTTTAAAAAATCCTCTTTGTAGAGCCAGGTGTGGTGCCACATGTCTTTAATTCCAGGATTCAGGAAGCAGAGGCAGGCGATCTCTGTAAGATAGAGGCTGGCCTGGTCTACATAGTGAGTTCCAGGGCAGTTGGGACTACAGGGAAACCCTGTCTCAAAAAACAAAAGCCCTCTTTGAAAACATATATGATAAGAGAATACAGGTTGAACATCCCTAACATAAAAATATGAAATGTGAAATGTTTCAAAATCTGAAATTTCCTAAGCACCAACATGATGCTACAAATAAAAATTTCTCTACCTGACCACACGTAACAGGTCACAGTCAACACACAGGCACAATAAAAAAAATTGCATAAAACTTCCTTCAGTATGTATGTGTATAGATAAGATATGAATGAAACAAATCAATTTCATGTTTAGTCTTGGGTCCCATCCCCCAAATAATCTCATTATTTATATACATACATACATATATATGTATATATGCAAACATTCCCCCAAAATTCTAAATTCTGAACCACTTCTTATTCTAAGCATTTCAGGTAAAGATATTCAGCTTGTAGTATCTAGAATATATAAAGAATTCTTAAACATTTCCATTAAAATTTTGTGCATGTATGTGTGTGTATACAGGACAAGGCACACACGTAGGGGTCAGAGAACAGCTTTCAGGTGTCAGTTCTCATCTTCCATCGTGTGGGTCCCAGGGACTGAATTCAGGTCATCAGGCTTGGTGGCAAGTACCTTTACCTACTAGTTCATCTCTCGCTGGCCTGGAGAATATATACAGAACTCTTATACCTCAACAATAAAAAAAAGACTCTGACTTGATTTTTTAAAAAAAGGCAAAGGGCCGGGCATAGTGGCGCATGCCTTTAATCCCAGCACTCAGGAGGCAGACGGATCGCTGTGAGTTCAAGCCCAGCCTCGTCTACACAGTGAGTTCCAGGACAGGTGGGGCTACAGGGAGACCCTGTCTC